CGCTATAAGCAGTGAAAAACACTCCTAGCATACTTGCCCCATCTTTTCCCTATACGCAGCATAATTGCACCCTTGGACTCAAATGTCTGAGCCGGACTTGACGGAGATGGAAAACGCTGTGTCGTTGCACTCTTTGCGGAGGGAAATGTACTATACACCGTTTCAACCTTAAGTTCAGACGCACCGACGGTACGAGCTTAAGGGACGATAGCGTCAATAGGGCCCCATCATGGTGGTCGTCGTGTTTCTGTACGTGTTCTAGTATCGTTTAACCAATCACAAACCGAAAAAGCCTAGTGACTCGCGCATTTGACGCTACTTATTGATCACATTGCCTATTAGCGTTCGCTGCGTCTGGGCTCAAGCTGAAGCGAAGTATAGTTGTCGGAAGAACCGTTAACAAACTCGGACTCACCCCTTAAGTTTCGTGTAGTCACATTGTAGTTCCATGCACGACCGTGATGAAGGCTGTCTTCTGCAAGCCATATCTTTGACTTCCTGGGACGAACAGCACTTTAATGACTTTCACTTATTTTTTCTTATATTGCTCGACACCTTTTTTGGTGTTTATACTTGCGAATTGTAACCGGAACACTCGATAACGCACACATAGATTACATTTTGCACTTTTCACTGGGAAAGTAGCAGCTCATAGAGTGTCCGCTAGGTGGGATGTCTCCTGAAAGAGCGCTGAAGCGTTGCGAAGAATTTCTTGCCGACGGTAGCCATGGTTTCTTCATGATGGGTGAAGTTGTTTGTACAGATGAGTGCAATGGGACACATCATGGACGGGTAGTGCGGTTGAAAACCTTGGCTGCGTGAAACAGAATACGGATACAGGGTGAGAGAAATAGTTTTCTGAGAAATTCAAGCATAATCGAACATAATGATACTTAAGACATTCAGTTATGTTTGCCCATTTTCGTATTTTTGCACTGTTTATTTCATCTTTAGTTAGTGATGAGCAATTTTAATAAACATTATCTTATGTTCAGCGAATTAACGAATTGAACACAAGCCAATAATAACGTTTACATAAGAAACAAAAATACCAATAAAACATTACTAACGTTTCATTGCTGTATTTTGTTGTCTATCACACCAGTGTGGTAGAAAGTAACGAATAGAGCATAACACTGCAAAAACGCTTACGTAGTCAAGATTTGGCAGCGCTGAGAATGCGGTAAAGTATTAGCATATTTATGTGATTATACACATGATCAGGGTTCTGTCGAGACACTAAACACCAGCCGCGGAGGTTTAAAGAACGAAATGTGCCGAAAGTTCTGAAGGGGAAGAGATATTCACAGTTTTAATATTATCACCAATAATTGTTAAGACAATTACACACTGTGCCTACACTTAGGTATATTTTTTTACAATATGCTATTTAACTGAAGACAGACAATACAAGACTAATCATGAACCTGAATAGGCGTGACCATTGGGACAGAATTTAGTACCAGCTGGGGCTAGGCGTCCATTAAAAACTTAACCCAAACTTTCATTATCATTTATTTAGGTTTTTAAAGCCACTTACAAAATTATAACGACAAAGATGAGCTTCCATTGTCACGCCTAGAGAGCGAAGATTCTAGTTTCCACACAGCATCGGCGTCAGTTGCACTTGGAGCGCTGCGCGCACAGCCATAGCACGACGGAAAGCGTCCCATGCTTTCCGTCGTGCTATGGCTGTGCGCGCAGCGCTCGAAGTGCATAGCACGACGGAAAGCATGGGACGCTTTCCGCCGTGCCTTCGACGCCTTCCACCGTGATTTCTGACGCTAAGCGTTCAAAGTACACGCCCTGCCGTTTTTGCTGTTTAAGTGAGTCGTGTTAATGATTTATCGTTTGAGTTGACCACAAGGAATAAGACTTCCAAAAAAAATGAATTGTTTTAAATAAAATATGTTTTATTGGGTCTAAACACGCCATCACGAACTCATTTTTTACATACAGCCTGCTGTGAGGCCAAACCAGGTTCGTAGTCAACGAAAAACTACGAACACTTTTCAGTATTAGAAATGTTAGCAAGAAATCACACACATTTTTACTGTAAACAGCATACGTGTAGAATCAGTTCAATTCATCGATATGTTTAACAAAGAAAAAAGGAGTTCCTAACTAATTAATGTTGAAACGATGAGGCACAGTACATTTGTTATGCGTCGTTCTGTTTGCATTTTTGAAGTTTGCACACGTAACATATTCTTGCGAATATCAATAAGGTAAACGCCATGTAGCAATTAAAAAAATTAGTTTAATCGAGTCAACATTATACCGGTTTACTTATGGTCAAACGGTTCGCATCGGACTTGAGTGGGGAGACACCTGTAAGTCGATAGCGTTTGTAAATAAATCTGACAGCTTTACTTTCTAATGGTTTTATTTCGGGAATGTTTCGTTGTGTAAATGGTTCCCAAAATATGATTGCTTATTCAACCGTTCCTAAAATCACTGATATGCTCCTAATTTGGGCTCTGGACCGGCGAATTTTAATTTCCATCTAAGTGTCCAAAACATTTGTTTTGGCACATATTGGAGATATCGTTTACGTGTGCATTCCAGTCCAGATTCAATATCGAAAGAGCGCCTTGGTGTTTGTAATCATGTACACATTTTAAATGAATAGTCTCAACACTTTTGGTGAACTGCGCATGTACTTTGTTTGCGTTTTGTTCATGTATACTGTTTTGTTTTTGTTCATTTTCGCGTCACACCAGCTTGTCAATTTCTGTAAATACTCATTCAACGTCTTCTCATCATATGTTTGTATTTCTGAATATGTAAGTGTATCGTGGCCAAAATGTTTAATTTTAACCCCAGACTAAAATCCTCGGCTCATTTCGCTGATATATAAAATTAATAGCAGCGGCCCGAGAACAGATTCCTCATGCACTCACAATATATCGGATAAGTTTCCTGACATTGTACTAATCAACTGCACAGAATATTAGTTCTTTCTAAACCTAGAAGGCGAAAATAATAAATTTATTTCCAGAAAATTAGGGTCATTCTTGTAAATGTGTAATCAGATTTTTCAAGCAGTACAGCGTAAAAAACAAGTGTAACGCGTCCTAAAAAAAAAGCGTAAAAATATGAGATGCGACATTCTTACTTTTTCCTTTGTCACCACACCTTTTCTTTTACGTTGAAGACAAACTATTAACCTGCTCAGAATATACCGATATTTACAAAAGTACATAGTGATCGATCTTTTAATCAATGAAGTGCTCATACCTAGAAAGAACGTAATTAGAGCTTTTGGGAATGCAGTTGTCCGCTAGGCGGCAAAACAACCGGCTGTCAATTATGATGATAACTTAGTGCGTGCGTCATCTAGCCTCCATTAAGAAAGTGGAGGGACCTATAGTGCATAAAATAAGTTCATCATCTGAAATGGTCTAGAAAAGCGTTACGTTCAAGTACCTTCATGCGAATTATAAGATCAAAATCTTTATACGTTAACTGCGCAAGAGGTCCACCTTGCATATTCTGGACCATGGGAAGCCATACGCAAGTTATATTTTCATCAAAAAGCGGAAGGAGAGAGAGAGAGAGAAAAAAAAAGTATTTATCAATGTATTAACAATTGTACAAAATGAAGTTTAAGACGTATAGAGGAATAGGCAAAATGTGAATGTTTAGATCAAGAAGCATGTACAGGGTGTTCAATTTTTAACTTAAATTCATCTTGAATATATATCTTTTTTTTTTTTAAGGAAACAACGTGAGAAAAGAAAACGTTAATCTGGTCTATGCCTTTGAGTTGTATGCCTCGGAGAACATTATATATGGGGTTTATTGTCACAATGAGCTAGAATGTGATAATCAACTTTCTAATTATTCAGAATAAACACATGTTTCGGTTAGAAACTGGCTGAGCATCATCCAACGCTACTAAATTTCTTAATTTTGGAAACCTTTCAAGCATGTGGTAAGCGTGAGGCAAGGCTAGAGTTTCCACTCGTGCAAGAGGCGCAACGCGCGCGGTCTGAAAACATGGATGAAAAGCCTTATTGAAAAATCTCATTTGTGTGAGAATTTTTGTGTCCAATAAACACATATGAATCATACAATATATATAAGAACATATAAGAACATATGATAACCATATAAGAATTATATAAGAACTATTAAGACTGTAAGAACCATTCGAATTTTGTTATAAGTTTCTTATATGGTTCTTATATGTACTTATATTTTAAATTGTTCTTTCATATTTCTTCCATGTTTTTATAGATTTTGTATGAATCATATGTGTTTATTGGACACCAGACATTTCCCATAAAATAGAATTTTTCACTAGGAACGTTATTATCCGCGTTTTCAGAACACAAGAGTCGGGCCTATTGTTCGACTGAAAACCTTACCTTACCCCTGCGCTTATTACGTGCTTCACATTTTTTACTAAAATTGATCGAGTTAGTGGTTTTATATGACTCTCATCAAAATTCTTAGTGGAGACGTATGTTTGCTTTCAGTAATTAAAAGCTTAATTACAAAATGTTAGATATTTATTTACCTACCTGCGACAATTATGCCGCCCTGTTAAGCCCGCTTGTCAGTTTAACTTACCTGCAAAGGCCTCATTACTTTGCATTTCACGGCTTTTCTTTAACTAAATCTGTTGGAGTTTCAATCAAACGCTGTGTCAGAATAAAACGCAAAAAAAAACGAGCGCTAGAAAAGAAAACAAGCAGCCATTAAGGTTTCATTCATATCCCAGCGGGTTTTGTAGAAGCATCTTGAATAGGGAAACAAATAAAAATTATTTTATCGCATGGCCGTTATAGGATCCGCAAATGGTAGTCCGGAAGATCGTGCCATGAACTCGGAACATACTCGTACTGTAAAGCATGACTCCGCCGACAGCAACTGAACTATTAAACAAGCACAACACATTATGAACCAGTAAGTCCCTATTCCAACTCCTCGTAATCCCCGCCTCAGCATTTGGTTCGAACATCTTAGTTGCATGAAAGAAACACGCTACTTACTGCGGACATAATTCACAGCATGGGGCAACGAGAAGATGGGAGCCATTCAGGGAGGAGTTTTGATCTGGAAAACAGAGCAAGAAACGACAATTGGCAAGTATATCAACCTATTAAATATTAAAAAAAAAAAAAAGAAACGCGAACATTCTACGCACTCACAAGGAAGGCACGAGCGCCGAAACATCTCTTCTGAATGGTCGTTATTTCCTGCTGCTTTTACGGAACCCAACTATGGATCAGGTCTACATAGTAGCTCCCTTCTCACACAAAGTATTGCACGCAATGTTGTGATAAGAAAAGTGGAAAAAATGATTTAAGCTGGTGAAAGTATACATTCCTTGGGAATTTATGACACTGCTTTTCATTACGTGCCACACATTTGATTGTGTGAGGCTATGGCCGCCGAGGTGCCACTTGAGCCTATAGCAACTCAAGCCACGATCAACGATGCACAACATACATCAGTGCAGACGCCTCGAGCGAATTGTGCTAGGGACTCTAAACACCGCCCCCCCCCCCCCTCCCTAGGAGGGATAGCCTTAGTATGGTTAGCGGATCCTCAACCTGCCCCAAGGAGCAGACACGCTGAAGATCGACAGGCAGCCACAGGGGCAGACGCTTGTGTCTTGGCGTCGCCTCGCGCTGGCATTGCGTTCGACGTGGGACGCTCTCAGAAGAAACTTGCAGGTCATGTATGGTGTAGGCGGTATTGTTCAACGTTACCCCGAAGGCAAGGCGTACACGTCCCCTATACCGTCGTCACAAAAGAAGAGCAAGCTATAGCTTGCGTTCGCGACATCAGAAATGCGTCGATCCCTAACGCATTGGGGGTGTTTCACAACGCACGCAACGCTGGCACGCTTCGGTGTGTTCTCAAATTCAAGTGGGTGTAGGCGATCCAAAGAAATGACGGCGTAATATGTTGTAAGGTGACTGCAACGCGTTTCCTACCGTAGTCACGGATATGATAAGAACGCAAGGGCGTGTCTTTTGAATGCCTGACATCCACCAAGTGCTCCATGCCTTCTGCCGTGCTTCGGCCACGCGCGCGCGCGCTCAAGGTGCACGGGACGCTGAAGCATTCTCGAAGGTAAAGGACGTTTGCGTGACGCGATAGAACTGAAGCCCCTATTCGCCGTTTTCAACTAGCCAGAGAAAGTGCGTATGGCGCGCCCTCTTTTCTATTTCCGCCAGATGACGCCAAACCTTGCTATATTGGCTGCATTTGATTCTGGCCCTGACACAGCAGCAAACGTGGAAGCGGGAGACGCCTACTATAATGTTGGTCGCTCTTCATGTTGACAGTTCGCGGTAGCTTCAATAGCCCGTAGCCTGTACGCCGAGACAACAGCGACGCTTGACTTCGGCACTTGTTCTTCAAATACGGTAACAATTGAATTCGAGGCAGCATGCTTATATTGCCTAGATTTACAAAAGCAGGTTTTACTATTGCTCTGAATTATCGATGTTAGTATGGCTTTACTACTTCACAGCGCATAAACTTTTCACAAAATGAGACGTTTATGCGCTGTGAAGTACCAAAACATGAAAAACCAACCACCTCAAGCTGCGGTGTTAACAGGATAGAATGGTGTTTTGCATTACTCTCTTTAAATTTCCAGGGTAACATTTTTTTGCGAAGTTTTGATTTTGTATGACGACCTTATCAGGAAACAACTTTACAAATTCGTCCAAAATCAAGAATATTAGGTTCAATTTGCTAGTTTACTTCCTCTCACATGCATTTATTTAGTAGCTTGGACGTCAAATATCCGCTCCTACGCACCGTCCATGAATACCAGCGATCGCAAAAAGACCGTCGACAAAATCCCAGCCGACGAATTTACTGCCATCAACTCATCAGCTCGCCAATGAAACCTTCCGCGTAAGCGGTCAGCCAAGTACACCAACGTAACGCGGCCAGTGAAGCGGCAGCTGCACCCTAGAAACTAGCTCCCCATAAGGCTTAGAAAAATCAGTGTGAACCATCGATATACATATTTAACGTGACACCATTAGCGAAAAAAAAAAAGCAATCCCCGTTACTTTAAGTTTCGTTTTAATGCGGAAAGGCCACCATAAAAAAATGCTACAGTGCGATCAAAATTTCTCAATGACTCAGCTTGTCTATACTTCATTTCGCAATAGTTCAACCGTAGCCCACGTGAAAATCAGACGTGCGATTCAAGCAGCCTCAAAAGTGCATTATCGTGGCACTCGTTTTCTATCTGCGTTTTCTGTGGATGGCTAAATAAATCACGTAGAAAAAAAAGGCAGAATCACGACGCAGTCATAGTTCGTGATTGCCTTAGCCGATGATGTCAAACGTGCTAAGACGAGTGCCGTAACGATACGTTTTTGTTGTTCCTCGATTGGAGACATCGGATCGTATCGTTAGCTGCGGCCGAACTTAATATGAAAGGAAGTATAATATAAAGGCCCGTTCACACACTTGCAACCCAGTACGACCGAGAGAGACTCGACCTGTTGAAACCTCTTAAAATTTCCTCAGACGACAGAAGACACTGGCACCCTGGCGCCGTCTATACGTTGACCCTGGAACGGCATTTCACAAGAGCGAAGGGTTTAGAGGATTTCAGAGGTCCAATGTGCGTAATACATATGAGAAGGCTCGTTTATAACGCTGACAAATGTTTTTCGAGCTAAGAGAGAAAGGATATTGCGCGAGAGAAATAGAAAATATGTTGGACCGCCAAGATTACACTGCTACCCGATAGGTGGCGCCAGTGTGTCCTCTCGCCGTAAGAGATATTAAGAGTTGCCAAGGCACTCGGTTCAAAGAGGTCGCAAATGTTCGAACAAAAAATAAGAAGTAAGAGAAACACACCGATTTATTTGTAAATTGCAAAACAATATCGGCTATGTTGTGTCTTTGTTGCAAGTTGCGCCTAATGTGTATACTCTCGTCGCAAGAGATATTAAGAGGTTTCAAGGCACTCGGTTCAAAGAGGTCGCAAGTGTACGAACGAGAGTTAAAACGTAAGAGGAACACACAGATTGATTAGTAAAATGAAAAAAAAAGCGGCTATGTTGTGTCTTTGTTGCAAGTGGTGTCTAAAATGTTTGGTGTCTTACTTACACAGCCGGTAATTAAGGATGTTTTGTACTCCATTTCGGCTCAATTTGATTGGCAGGCACGCATGTGCCAGGGGCTGCCCACGGTCCTTTACACGGCGGCAGAGGCGGTCAAAAGTATCCCCCTTCTGACTGAAATACTAAAAACGTTTTCACTTATCCCCCTAGTTTCCTGAAAGGCTGGGCTGAGTTTCCCTCGTCTTGCAACGCATGCTACACACATGCAGAAATCGAGCTCCCTATGAGTTTGAAAAGATTTGCGAAACAATGATGTCGGCCAAAGCAAAGCCCGTATCCCGTTCCCTGGTATACAATTTGGTGCTTCGCTAATTTACATTTCGTTTCACAAGTAAACTTTAGTTCCCGGAGATGCAAACTTCCTCTGATGAAAATAACTTCTATTTTATTTCTTCAGACTCGAAAACATTTGACACCATGTACTTTTTGTTCTTTCCTGTCTTTCTCTCTTTCCATATTTCTGTCTTTCTGTCTTTCTCAAGTTAAAATCGCGGTCGCTTGTAGCCGCTGCCCACGACAGGGCTCCGTAAATTTTCAAATTTAAGAAAGCGTCGGTGCGATAGCTTTGTTTATTATCAATAGAAAGACTTGCGGTGGATTGTCACGTGACCAGAGACGCAGGGCGGACGCCATTCTGTTGTTTGTTGTCGGCACATGTCCAGCTGTTGAAGTGTCGTTGCGCCAATATAAAAAAACGAACCTCTTGCCGGCGTCATCACACATGCGCTGTACCTCATTCAACAGACAGATGAAGTCCCGATCCGCTCGATATCGTGAAACGCTTTACTTAATGACTAATCGAAACGCACGAACAGAGCGTCCTTTGGAAACAAGTGAGATAAGTTTCTAAAGTCATCGATGGTGCCGGTACTAAAGAAATACCGTTTTCTTTTTTCTGATTTCCTAAAATTTCAAAAAATGCGAATTGATGAAGTTCCTCCTTCATAGTTTGCATTTTGAAAACGACGGAAACAATTGCGCTCTTGAAAACACCCACCATGTTTTGGGGCAGCTGTTTATCTCCGTAATACTCAATTTCACAAGCATCTGCACTGTTGAAAAATGAACGGGCGCAAGCGCGCTACTTTGAAGAAACATTTTTATGCTTGAATTGTTGTACAAAACATTCTGTTGAGCAAGGCTCATTCGCCTCTGCCTTTGTCTACTCTGAAGACATTTGCGGGGCAAACTATACTTGCGTAATTTATAATTAAAACCGTAAAACTAAGGTACTTAAATGTCTTCGTAATATACGCATTGCCCATTAAGACTTCTTTGAGCGATGCGCGTAACGCGCATACCGCACCCCGTCGCCCGGTTGCTATAGTATAGGCGAGGCAAAACGTTATACTTAAAATTACGGTATCGGCTGCTACACCAACTTTTTTTGTAAGGTTATTTTGTGCAGAGAGCAAGTAGTCTCCTTCTTGCGCGGGAGCTCTGGTGTCGCCGGAAAGACGCCGAGCTCTGAATGGTTCCGATTGATGGATAGTAGGTAGACCTCAAAGCAAGCTGCTTTGAGGTCTACCCAGTATCCTTCAATCCGACTCAATCAAAGGTCTGCTTTCTCATAACACCCCAACCCCTGCAAAAGAAGCAGACGAACTTCCGCTCCGCATTGAAGACGACCTCGAGACTACATCATAACATATTAGATCTTCTTGCTGTGTATTGGCAGATACTTTACATATACATTCAATGATAAATCAATGTGTATACATGCTATCGAAGAATAACACAACGTTGACGATCTTTGATCACACTACTCGATTGGCACAACTTATAATCTTACGCTATACACCCAAACTATTTCGCTAATTGATCGGCGTCGCCGTCCTAATAGCACGTTTATTATGAAATTCAAATTATGTCCGGCAGCAATCAAAGCTACGATTCGGCGGACGCAATCGAGCGGCGCGAAAATTGCGTCGTCATGACGCGCGTCGTTTT